TTCTTTCTTTCTTTCTTTCTTTCTTTCTTTCTTTCTTTCTTTCTTTCCTTTCTTTCCTTCCTTCCTTCCTTCCTTCCTTTCCTTTTTTTCTTTCTTTCCTTCCTTTCTTTTTTTCTTTTTCTCATTCATTCATTCATTCATTCAATTTGTTTATGATGAAGTTTCCAAGTCCACCAAGTGGAAACTGATGCAAAAACATACATCAGAGTGAAAGAATTGTGCATTCAAAGCTCTATTTTGAGTGCTGAGGAGGAATAAATCTCATAGTCTTTCTACATACAGAAACACTCCTAATTATTCTTACCTCTCTTTATTTCATGGCTTAGTTTTGGGCAACAGGAGGACACAGAATGGGGAGTGAGAAACTACAGTATATTTACTGTCCCATTCACTGCAAATCATAGAGAAGTCAGTAGTCAAATCCAGGCCTACCCTTTACCCATCCCTACTCTGCTCTGCTCTTGTTCCTATACAGTAACACTTTTAAGGAATTGATGCTCTGGTGTGATACAGATTTCTAGTTTCTAGAGTTTCTCTAGAAAGCAAGGTAGTCCTTGCTTAATGACCAATTGCTTAGCAATTGTTTGAAATTATGATGGATCTCCCAAAAGGTATAGTAGTTACAAGCAGTGGGGGGGATTCTACCAGTTCGGCCCGGTTCGGGAGAAGCGGTAGTTACAGTGATGACTTGGCCCCGCCCATTCTCTCCGCCCTATTCTGTCCTTTATTTCTGGGGTTTTCAGCTCAGCTGTTTGGTGTGGCACAGCGGATCGCGGCGCCTCAGCTGATTTACTCACTGGGACTGCAGCAGAAGCTAAGTTTTAGAGCTGAAAAAGCAGCATTTTTCAAACACTGTGTGCACATGCGCGCGCATGCTTCGCCAAACCGGTTGTTACACCAGTTGGATCGCACCCCTGCTTACAAGCCAATTTAAACATTCAGGTGGCTGCACCACTACTACTCCCCGCCACCAAGTCACACAAACACATTTTGGGTACTTGGAATCTGGCTCACCTTTATGCAGCCACTTGCAGCATCATGTAGTCAAAGACTGAAATTTTCAACACTGTTTTGCCAGTTTTCAGTGTTTACTTCTTTAAAGAAGAAGGAATGGCAAAATCTGGAGCAGAGTGAACAGAGGGATCGGCCTAGAATCCCTATATAGGCCCAAAGTCTAAGTCCCTTTGAATGCCATTGTCCGTTGTCTAACTCTAATCAGGTTCTTAAGAGTTAGTTGAGAAGGTTCATGTACATAGGCTTTTAGTAATAAATCAGCTTAATGGAACTTTCACATGTGGACCTGGTCTTTTGCAACTGAGAGTTACCCGCTTAATGACCACAATCACCATAATTCAGTCTCAGTTATGATAGTAAGTTGAGGACTACCTATAGGTCATTGGAAAGGACTGTTTGGTAAACTCAAAGGGACCTGAGATCTCCAATCCCATGACTGGAGACACCTGCAGGAATTTGACCCCTGCCTTCCAGCCCTTGGGTCTTTCCATCAGAATTTCTGGGTTTAAAAAAAACCCTCTTTATCTTTCAATTGAAGATGCGTGTGTATGGCTCTTCTTGAATCACAGGCAGAAGGTTTAGCATGTGATCATTCATTCATTGTGATTTTGACTGTTTCTATTGTGTCCGAGTTCTTTTCCTGATCTTTTTAAATGGTATCAAGTTTTATAGTTGCTGTTATTCTATAACCACGAGAATGCCCAATTCCATATTCAGAACAGGGAGAAAACAGACAGCGAAAGGTAACTATCATGTATAAATCCAGTTTAGATTAGAGGTTTAATATAAGTAAAAGACATGTACGTTAAACAGCTCTGTCCAACCAGTTGCCCTCTATGTTTTACCACTACAGCTCTTGAAATTCCAACACAATAAATCCCAAAAGCCCAGTATAACCACAAGTGAGTTATGACCATAATGGAGTCTGCTCCTAGTGGTTGTAACTTGTGACAGTGGTAAAACTGATTTTATGACCTTTTTTGTAGTGGTCATTAAATGAACACCACCATGATCAAATGAACACTGCGGGTATTAAGCAGATCAATGGTTTGCTGCTGAAATGCCGACTTTCAGCAAAGACCTCATAAAACACAGTCATGTGACTGCAGGACACTGCAAATGGCTGTAAATGTGCAAACGGTTGCCAAGTGACTGAAGTGTGGTCACATGACTATTGGGCGGGGAATGATCATCAGAACTTTGAATTCATAAGTCCTCTCCCTGGTAGAACCGTTGGAACTTCAAACAGTCACTAGCGACCAATCGTATGTCAAGAACTACCTGTTGAAATATGCATGATAATGTTATGAGCAAATTAATGTTTATATATGTAACATATACATCCAAAATTATATCTCTCATTAATCTCAAACTTCTTCTTAATTTCCCATACTGATCTTTTTAATCCTATAATTAAACCGTCAACAACTCATGAACTGGCAGGACAAAGTTAATGATCAGCAACATACTTTGGCGTACATTAGCCAAACAGATTTAGCTTAGTGTGGGGAGAGGGAAACCACACAAGCATTTTTCTTAATCACATTCAAGCTGAAAAAAAAATTGGCAAGACATACACTATATTATACATATATCTCTACTCACACCATTATCCCATCATGCTAATAATAACCATGCTATAATGTGAATCAGTATTGGTACAGCACTCCATTGATCTCAAAGCTCTTTAGAAGCTTTCAGGATTATTTATGTTGATCTGAACAATAGAGTTTGTTGTTTTTGTCCGGAGCTTTTATTTCTTTTAACACATCCTTATCACCAGAAATGTTCCTATCTATCTTGCTTACCGAGAAGAAACATCACGAGGAGGCCACTTCACCCCCCAGTACACCTTACCTTGAGGATCTGCCTTTTTGTAAGCGTTCCCCGCATCAACGAAACAGGTGGCTGAATCGTGTTTACTCTGCAGCTGCATGTGGAGTTTTGCTGCTTGACAAAAGGCATTCCCTGCAGCTGAGAGAGAAACAGAGCAGCATTTTGACATCCAAAGTAGCCATTTGAACCAGAAACCAGCACTTTCCCCCAATTCTCTCTCAAAAAAAGAATTTAAGGAACTGCTGCTGAAAATCTACCAACGGGTGCCTATATTGGGGTGGATCCTGACATTATTTCCACGTTTCCCTATCTGCTTCAGCCACGTGGTTGCTCAATTCAGCCACAGTGCTTTAAATCCTCTCTCTTGAGATTATCAGTTTCTCCAACTAAATGGAAGGAAAATAGGAGGCATTGTTCAGCCTTTTCCTTTCGGCCAGAATTTTAAGTGGACGAAAGTAAAGTTGTGGTTTGGCTACATGGAGATTCCATTATTTAGATCAGTGGTTCTCAACTTTTATGAATCCATGGCTTAATATTGAAGAGAACAGTCATTTCTGTAGCGCATTAGAAACAGAACAGAACAGAATAGAAGTAGGGCAGAGCAGAGCAGAGCAAAATAGAATTCTTTATTGGCCAAGAGTGATTGGACACACAAGGAATTTGTCTTTGGTGCATCAGCTCTGAGTGTACATAAAAGCTGTAATCTTGATCATAGGCATCAAAAAAATATATTCATCATAAATCATAAGACACAACACTTGTATCTTATTTATGATTTATAATAATTTATGATTTTATATATATGTGTGTGTGTGTGTGTGTGTGTGTGTGTGTGTGTGTGTGTGTGTATGTATATATATATATAAAAACATGTAATGCAGAGGTCTCCAATTCCCAGCCCATGGACTAGCATCGGTCCACTAGCACCGGTCCACGAACCATGCAAAGAAGCGAAGCCCCATCCGCAGAATGCAGGCAGCACACAAAAGCCACACCTTCTCTGGCCTGTGGAAAACCTTTCTCCATGGAACCAGTCTCTGGTGCCCAAAAGTTCGGGAACCACTGATGTAAGGCATGGTTCACAAGCTAAATTTAAAAAAAAACTCCATTGCATTGATTATGTGGATAGTACAGAATATACACTGCTCAAAAAAATAAAGGGAACACTTAAACACAATGTAACTCCAAGTCAATCACACTTCTGTGAAATCAAACTGTCCACTTAGGTAGCAACACTGATTGACAATCAATTTCACATGCCGTTGTGCAAATGGAATAGACAACAGGTGGAAAGCATAGGCAGGTAGCAAGACATCCCCAATAAAGGAGTGGTTCTGCAGGTGGTGGCTGCAGACCACTTCTCAGGTCCTATGCTTTCTGGCTCATGGTTTGGTCACTTTTGAATGCTGGCGGTGCTTTCACTCTAGTGGTAGCATGAGACAGAGTCTACAACCCACCCAAGTGGCTCAGGTGGTACATCTCATCCAGGATGGCACATCAATGCAAGCTGTGGCAAGAAGGTTTGCTGTTTCTGTCAGCTTAGTGTCCAGAGCAGGGAGGCACTACCAGGAGATGGCCAGTACATCAGGAGACGTGGAGGAGGCCGTAGGAGGGCAACAACCCAGCATCAGGACTGTTACCTCCGCCTTTGTGCAAGGCGGGACAGGAGGAGCACTGCCAGAGCCCTGCAAAATGACCTCCAGCGGGCCACAAATGTGTATGTGGCTGCTCAAACAGTCAGAAACAGACTCCATGAGGGTGGTATGAGGGCCCGACGTCCACAGGTGGGGGTTGTGCTTACAGCCCAACACCGTGCAGGACATTTGGCATTTGCCAGAGAACACCAAGATTGGCAAATTCGCCACTGGCGCCCTGTGCTCTTCACAGATGAAAGCAGGTTCACACTGAGCACATGTGACAGATGTGACAGGGTCTGGAGACGCCGTGGAGAACGTTCTGCTGCCTGCAACATCCTCCAGCATGACCGGTTTGGCAGTGGGTCAGTAATGGTGTGGGGTGGCATTTCTTTAGGGGGCCGCACAGCCCTCCATGTGCTCGCCAGAGGTAGCCTGACTGCCATTAGGTACCGAGATGAGATCCTCAAACCCCTTGTGAGACCATATGCTGGTGCGGTTGGCCCTGGCTTCCTCCTAATGCACGATAATGCTCGACCTCATGTGGCTGGAGTGTGTCAGCAGTTCCTGCAAGATGAAGGCATTGATGCTATGGACTGGTCCACCCGTTCCCCAGACCTGAATCCAATTTAGCACATCTGGACCATCATGTCTCGCTCCATCCACCAAAGCCACGTTGCACCACACACTGTCCAGGAGTTGGGGGATGCTTTAGACCAGGTGTGGGAGGAGATCCCTCAGGAGACCATCCGCCACCTCATCAGGAGCATGCCCAGGCGTTGTAGGGAGGTTATACAGATGCGTGGAGGCCACACACTACTGAGCCTCATTTTGACGTGTTTTAAGGACATTACATCAAAGTTGGATCAGCCTGTCGTGTTTTTTTCCACTTTAATTTTGAGTGTAACTCCAAATACAGACCTCCATGAGTTGCTAAATTTGATTTCCATTGATAATTTTTGTGTGATTTTGTTGTCAGCACATTCAACTATGTAACGAACAAAGTATTTAATAAGAATATTTCATTCATTCAGATCTAGGATGATCTAGGATGTTTTTGTGTTCCCTTTATTTTTTTGGACCAGTGTATATAACACACACACACAAAAGAAAAAAGTAAGATCTTTTTTCTTGTGGCACACTACAAACAAACCCATCGCATATCTTTGTGCTGTGGTGTGCTAGTTGAAAACTACTGATTTAGATGAAGCAGAGACTTCTGTTGTTAGGGAGACACATTAATTATCCTATAGCAAACCTTCAGAAATATATTACTGGTTCATAAAGAGAACAACCAAAAGAGAACTGCTCAATGAAATTAACAGTTGTGCAACCAGTTTTCCTATACATTTACTTAAAACAAACTAATGGTGAAAATATCACTCCTCAATTTGTATACCACGGAGCTGAAAATACAGCATGCATAATAATTTCCAAGGAAGCATGAACCACCCTATTTCATTTGGGGGGTGGGGGAAGGACTGGGTTATCCATGAAGGACAGAGAAAGGCAATTTACTGTATGCAGAGGTGGATGGGTTTTAAAGTTCGGTGCTAGTGAGTCACCACTTGAAACATCAGATAAAGCAGCTAAATCCCCAGCTTGTGATCACTTCTATGTGCAATTAAGGCATGTTATTTCAAGATAATGACTTTGGATTAATCCCCTTGGCTATTGCAACAATATCTGAATTTTCTGCAGGAAGACTAAGGGACCTATAACCCAATTCTCAGTGGCTCCAATCAGCATGGCCATTCTTGAAGGGTGTTGGGAACTGAAGTCAAGCAATATCTGAGGGATTACAGTACCCTCCACCCCTGTTGTAGTGATCTACAGGCAAAGCTATCCTTTATATTTATAAAGAAAATAAAAATGTCTATATATACCACTCCAGTTCTTGGCTATCTTGAACATATTTGCAGCTCTTGTGTACATTTCACATGCTTCTTCAAGCTTTGTATTTCCTCTAGGAGAAATAAAAGACACAGAATTAGAAGGAGATGGGTACCGTTGCACTATGAAACAGCCAAATATGAAACATATTCAAAGAATACAAAGAAAAGTTGAGAAAATAAACAACGCAGAAACCAGTTCCCCATAAATACTGCATGCTGCAAGCAAAGAATCCTTGGTTTTGTAAATGCACTGGAAGCTGAATTGTGCATAGTGAGTAGCCGAGAAAGCTACAGAGATCTTTGACATCTTTACTAATATTTCCTCCTGACACAATGGCGCTTTCTCTGTCTCACACACATATATGTATTACATACATGTTGCTTGAATGGATCCAATCACTGCAGCATGCAGAAAACTGGATTGTGCAGCCCCTCTAGAAAAGAATCAGGGAGGCTCTATTGTTACCATTTCAGTACTAACAAAATACTCAGAGCCAGACCTATATTAGGTCTAAGAAGTTGAACTGGAAGAGGGGGAGAGTTAGGCTGAAATCCCTACTCAACAGAGCTTCTGGACAACATTGGGCCAGTCACTCTGTCCAACCTACTTCATATTGTTGCTGTTGTAAATATAAAACAAAGGTGTGAACCCCTCAAAAACCTTCTTAAGCTTCTAGAGCAAAAAAATGGGATGTAAATAAATATGTAAGTACTGGGCAAGATGCAGTGTTCCCAGAAAGAGAAAAATGAGGGTCATCATTATATAGCACTATTAAATAGCGCTTTAATATTATAGTAGTCTCTTTCCAAGTGAACGTAAAGATACTAAGAAAGCCCATAAGGTTAAATTGGTCATTTATACTTAGTGGGAAGCTGAGTCTATTCATAGATGTGATTGTTCATAATTTGATCATAAAATGTTTAAAAAAATCACAGGAATTATTTAACAAAAACAAAGAATGAATTTTATCCTAACTTTGGAATCACGGGCAATATTCCTGTTAGCTTGCCAATTTGGAAATTAAAAAAAATAAATAAACATCTACTATATTCTAAGGCAGCCCTCAACTTACAACCACAATTCAGCCTAAAATTTCTGTTGCTAAGCAAGACGTTGGTTAAGTGAGTTTTGCTCCATTTTACAACCTTTCTTGCCAGGGTGGTTAAGTGAATCACTGCAGTGCTTAAGTTAGTAACCTAGTTGTAAAATGAATCGGGCTTCCCCACTGACTTCGCTTGTTAGAAAGTCGCAAAAGGGGATTACATGACCCCGGGATGCCGCTATTGTCATAAAGACATGGCAGTTGCCAAGTAACTGAATTTTGATCATGTGACCACGGGGGATGCTGCAACGGACATAAGTATGAAAATGGTTATAAGTCACTTTTTCAGTGCCATTGTAACTTTGAACGGCCACTTAACAAATCAAGGATTATCTGTACTAATAAACAGTATGATTGCACATAGTCCTAATTTTATTCCATAGGCATACAAGGAGGGAAAAGGATTTATAGCAGATATACAGGTATTTTCTCAGTCACAAATTTTGGTGAAAGAATCAGAGAGTTTTTCAGAAGATGAGAAGGAATAGATGGGATTATGATGATTACAGAGAGTCAATGGGCCACCTTATAGTATGTGTGATGACCCTGAGCGTGGGACAAAGGCAACACAGTCACATAAGTAGGAAAAGTCCCTTTAATACTTCCAAATTTGCCCCCAGTGTCTAGTTACCTTCGGCTGGAGAAAAAAAACTCCTAAGAACTTTAAATGAAGGAAATTCAATCCGAAAACAAAGTATATATAAATTGTAAATAAAAATCCACACAAACCATGCTGCAGCAATTAACTGGACAGGGCAGGATAAGGAATTGCAGACTTCAAAGACCAACAAAACACACACAATTGGGAAGACTCCAGGAACCCAGATAAGCCTCGATCATAAAAGATAACTCACGATTTGCCTTTTTAAACATTGTGTTCCCAGCTGCAGCTAATGATGGGAATCAGGGCCCTTTCCTCCCCCGTAAGCCACACAACCCACGTTGTTCTTTTCTCCGTTCCTCCCTGCGTGCCCTAGGATGAAGAGGAGGTGGGCCTGGATCTTCTGAATTCCCTCTGCCTTGCTCTATCTTTCCCCTGCTCTGCCCAGCCAGACTTTGCCATTCCCTGGTTTCTTCCACAGCCAATGGAGCCACACACCCCACTCCATCAGTTGCTCGGCCTCCCCCTCAGAATCAGATTCCGACAGGGATGTGACAGTATGCGCATGGATATGATATGGTGGTAGGGAAGTTGCAGCTTGCTTGATGGTTTCCGACAGGGCCCTTAAGATACAGTTCTTATTCCAGCTGTTGGACTATGGTGGTTGAAGTCCCCTATGCATGTATGTTTGTGGTATTAACTGAATCTCCCACCTTTTTATTGTTATATGCACTCTTTTTATTGTATTTTTCTGTAATGGTATTCAGGAATGACCTTGGGAGATAGGAGGAAAAGCTGCAGCCTAAGCAGCCATCAAGCAAAAGATATTTCAGCCCATAGGAGGAGGTAAGGAAAGCACCTAGTTTTCAGAAAAGTAAAAGCAAAGAAGGGAAGGGGTGCTTTCAAACATGATTTTCTTACAACAGATTTAGTGCTAATACAGGTAATCCTTGACTTACAACCAGAACGGAGCCCATAATTTACATCATAATTCACAACGATTGTAAAGTCACAGCACCCGCCAGACCGATCTTATTTTACAACACTGGGGTTTTTTGCAACAATCATAAAGCAAGCCAATGTCATGTGACCAGGGAATGCGGCCACCAGCCGTAAGAGCGAGTTGGTTGCCAAGGCACCCAAAATGCAGTCACGTGACTACGAGGTGTGTTTGCATGTGACACCATCGGAAAACTTCAAGTACCTTTTTTAGGCGGGGTTTTTGGGGCGGGGGCATAACTTCAAATGGTTGCTAAGCGACCGTTAAGCAAAGACTATCTGTACTCAGGGTTGGTGCTTCTTGTTCTGGACTTCCTCAAAGGGCTGACCATTTCTTGTTTTATTTTTAATGCTATGAGCCACCCAGAGTCGACGAAAGTTAGCTGCTATCTATGATGAACTATATACTTTTTAGTTAAAAATATGTTAATATTCTGGCTCAGAATGGTAGGAAACCGTGATATTGATTTTCAGCAATAATTTTACCGATCTTTAGGGGTGCAGTTACAGGGAAGCCTAAAAAGAGATGAACGTCTTCATGTGGCTGTATATCAGAGGTCTCCAAACTCGGCAACTTTTAAGACTTGTGGACTTCAACTCTCAGAATTCTGGCTGGCTGGAGAATTCTAGGAGTTGAAGTCCACAAGTCTTAAAGTTGCCAAGCTTGGGGACCCCGGCTGTATATGATGTGAAATAGGAATAACCTGGAGGAACAGGAGGAAGAGCTGAGGCTTCCCAGGGTGTGGCAAACAGTTCCACAGGTGCGTGGTTCTGGGGCTGCTTGCTGCCCCACAAGACTAGACGTAGGGGAGCCAAAAAGACAGATGGGGGGAGGAAATAAGCAGACGGGGGGATTTGAAGCACTCTGCACTTTAAGTGCAGATGGCCTGCCAAAAAGCTAAATTTTGATCATGTGACCGGGAGCACTGCAACAGTCATAACTTTGGGCACGGGTTGTAAATTCCTTTCTTTCAGTATTGCCATAACTTTGAAAGGTCACTGAAGAAACTGTCATAATTCGAGGACTACCAATACACATACATCTTGTATTGTTCTCATTTTGTTAAAAAAAAACAAAACATAAAATGAATTACTCTTCCCGGTCATTTTTATACAACTAGTTTTATGGCTTTTTAAGTGCAAGTGAACCTTATTTCACTGTCAACCCTTTTTAATTTCACACTTATGTTTTTAGCTTGAGGCCTATTCACAGTTGGCTGCTATCACTGGGAAAACAAAGTAGACTTTCTGAATTTAAATAAATGCATATCGAACAAAAGGGAAACATTTCAAAAGTGAAGGCTGACAGAACTAAATCTGTTTTATGGTTATTGTAAGGGAAAATATCCAGCTCCACTTGCTAGTTTGCATGCAGACGTAACTTCTATTAGAAATTTGTAATGGTTTATTGAGTCTTTACTGTTTTCCCAGAATCATAAGAAGATTCCTAAAAACTGCATGTTCTCTTAAACTATGGACTAATAATATTATTAGTAAAATATGCCTTAAAACTACCAGAGTCTCTACCAGAGCATTTTTTTTTAAAAAAAAGAGAATACTGCATTTTGGGGTTACATTTCCTAACCAAAAGGCCGCAACAATTTGCCTATGGCTTATTTTAAGTATCCAAAATTCCTTCTGCCTGTCAATTCACTCTCTGTCTGCAGAGTATGACTTGCTGATATTCAATCCGGAGATTAGAGGAGAAAGCCATCCATCCCCAGATATGCTAAGGGGAAAAAAAAGCATTGCAAATCAAAGGCAGCACAGTAATTCCTGATTTAAAACTAGTGCCACATTCAGTGCTAACCAGGGCCAAAATAAGCTTCTTTTTCTTCTCTCTTTCTCTCTCTCTCTCTCTCTCTCTTTTTGTTTGCTGCTTGTCAAAGGTCAAAAGTACTTCCATGCCAATTCATTTCATGCATGACACTGACCAGATGAATCTGTTCAGAAGAAGACTTAAGGCGGGTGGGCATGTGATAACTTGAATGTAAACTTTAACTGCAGCCATTTGCAGCATAAAATAATAATATAGAATATATGGAAATAACATATTGTAATAAAAAGATGCAGAGATAAAAAGCAGTTATAGGATAGTAAAGACTGCCCCAATCGATATTACAGGGAAGAAGAAGAATGAGGAGAAGGAAGAGAAGTCAAGGCATATTATCAGAAAACCAGGCCAAAATAGAAATATTTAGGTAAACAGGTATAGTTTTATTCATATCTAAATGAATAAAGTATGGGTAAATCTAACATCATTATAAAGCTACCCTATATAAAATATATTAGGCAGTACGTAAAGCATGTAAGTATTAGTATGCACTAACAGCTCCAATCCGAATTGTCTTCCTACCTATTGAAGCAACTCCTTCTGACTTATCTTGACACTAACAATGACAAAAATCACAAGTGCTAGAATCAGCTCACAAACCCATTTGCACTGGGCTGAAAAGGTTAAGGAATAAATGGGGATGGGTGGCTTCCTACTTCCTGATGTGAGTAGCTCCGTAACCTTTACACAAAACAGGTAAGAGATATTGAAAGATCTGGGTTCAGCAGTCTTAAGGAGAGGGAAGAACGAACGGCAAGTTCCAGACTTGGAAAAAGAAGATTAAATTCCTGAAGAGCCTTACCTGTCCTCCCTCTCTCCCTAATGTGCCTCTCCACAAATACTACAGCACAGCAATTCTACTAACTGTAGTAAATAAAACATTCATGTGTTGGAGCAATATAAAAACAAACAAAACAATTCGGAGATGCAAGAAGGATTGACTACGTCGAAGTTTATAGATAGCAGCATCTGGTGCCAATTATTATTGCCAATTCATTTCAAGGGTGAAAGATAGAAAGAGAATAACAGAGACCAACCTCTGAAGAGTATTTTCTTCAGAGTTACAGCTATTCAACCACAGCAACGCTGCTTACTGGCACCACCCAGAGGTGGTATTGAGCAGGTTCTGACCAGTTCTGGAGAACCGGTAGTGGAAATTTTGAGTAGTTCAAAGAAATGACAAATCCCACCTCTGACTGGAGATTTTACAGTATCCTTCCCCTGCCACGCCCACCAAGCCACACCCACAGAACCGGTAGTAAAAAAAATGAATCCCACCACTGGCACCACCCCCAGAATCACAAAACACCAACATTTGTTTTCTCTGCATTTATAAGAATCAACTGGTGCTATAATTTTTCCCTATTTTTTCCCCTTTGGTATAACAAGCAGGAACAGTTGCACTGAAAATGGGAACATTATGTATGAAGAACACAGAGATGCTGTCCCAATCCAGCAGTCCCCCCATCTGTATATTTTTTTAAGAAAGAAAACACTGAGATACAGATACATAATTGGACCCTGAACTATAATTTATGCTATTTATCTAGCACTAACTATTTACCTAGCACTAATCTCTTTAAAAAAGACAGAATTAAAGGTTATCAGACACCAGATAATCGACCAATAAACTGAAAACAAATCCTCAAATTTTCTATGTATAAAATAGAAAGCAGATGCAGAAAGCATTTAGTTTGAATTGAAATTTCTCATCCTAATTCTTACTGCAGCAACTGAAATGATATACAAGTAAAATTATTATGCCAATTTAGACCCTAAGTGGAATTTGACTAAAAGCTTTCCCTACAGTACCAGGAAAACGAAGAGCCCTAATTAATGCACATAATTTAGACTACAACTTGGAATAGCAATCAAGACATGGACTGTACAGTCTGAATACAGTGGGTTATCTCAGTTGCTATTTATGAGAACTGTCCTAATAGACAAGCTGGGTAAAAAAAGATAAACTAGCAACGCTAAGAGTAAACAGCAAAATAATATCATTAGCAGAAAAGAGATTGAAGTGGCAATTATTGAAACACAGTGTCATAAAATCATCATAAAGGGTTCTTTTAGAAACCAACAAATTGTATAAATATTAAGTATTATATATTAATATTGTTGCATTAATTTAGGCAATTTCAAGGACTAAATGACAGTGCAGTTGTGTGTGGAGATGTTGAATGTTTCCCCTCATTTTATCTTACTCAGATCTTTGAGGTAAATTGATGAACTTTAAGTTTAAGCAGAGTCATGAAATACGGCTTTCCCAATCCCAGACTAATAGCTTGATTAGTAAACCACTTTGTAAACATGCAAATTCTCTTTCAAGATGAACTCCTGGTGGCATTCTGGGCATGTCCATATAGTTTTTCAGCAACATACAATAGTAATAATATTAATAATATGGAAATGGTATGCTCCTGTCTTCTTCCAGGGTGGAATTTTGATTTCACAATCTAACCTATACTTCTCATATTTTCTGGTTTCTCACCCATGTGCGAAGCAGATCTAATCCTGCTTAACTTTCTAGTCCACATGAAGTTTGACTAAATGTTGCTATTTTAAGGAACCACACAAAATACTATCCTCCTGATACTCACCGATCTATTCGTTTTCTCAATTTTGGATCAATGAAGAACCTTAATCAGACGTTCTTTTATACCCAAGGTGCCATGAAAGGGAATTACTGACAAATTGTAGAAGATGGCCCTTATGTCTGCTATAGCTGAGCTGCACAGCATTGTAACAGTACACTGAAGATTTAATAATAGTCCATAAGATTTCATGATTCATAGACTATTTTGCTGCCTTCATGAAACATTAGTCTCAATTGACAGGAAAAAAAAAGGTAGACAGAAGAGCCCAAAGACTATGTTATACAAGAAATCCAATTAGACTAATGGAACTTAAATCTGTAGAAAATAAAAATTTAGATCATTTGCAACACAAGTCTCTATGGAGATTCTCAGTCATCCAGGTTGTCCCAAAGCTGCTGTTTTTTTTTCAAGATGCAACTGGACTTTCTGGTTTTTCTTTGAAGACGTTTCACTTCTCATCCAAGAAGCTTCTCCAGAAACGTCTTCAAAAGAAAATGTGGCATGAAACCAGCTGGCTGACCTTGGGCCAGTCACTTTCTCTCAGCTCTAGGAATAAAACAATGGCAAACCACTTCTGAAACACCATACCAAGGAAACAGCAGGGACTTATTCAGGCAGTCTCTCAAAATAAGACATGAGTGAATGGAAGGGAAAAAAAACTTTTTAAAGACACCAGGCAACATAATTAAGGCCTTAACTCCAAACTGTATGCTTATTGAATTAGTCATTGATATATTATGACATACATACATACATATATATATATACACATATATAATAGTGAATTCTTATCTAGCTGGAGATGAGAGCTTTAATCCAACATGCCTGAAGGTACTGAGTTGGGATACCTAGTATATGTTTAAGGCTGTATATTAAAAACAAACTCTAGAGAGGTTGATTATTATGAATAATCAATTTTGATTATTTGAGCCATCTTAAGCACTGCTTTTGATGGCAGCTTTATCATGTCTACACCTCTCACTGTCCTTACCTATACAGGTTCCCCTTGACTTACAAACACAATTGAGCCCAAAATTTCAGTTGTTAAATGAGACATTTGTCAAGTGAGTTTTGCCCCATTTTATGACTTTTCTTGCCACAGTTGTTATGCGAATCACTGCAGTTGATAAGTTCGTAACCTGGTTGTGAGGTGAATCTGGCTTTTCCACTGACTTTGTCAAAAGATGGCAGGAGAGGAATCAAACAACTCTGGGACATAACAAAGGTCACAAAGACAAATCAATTCATTGCCTAACGTCTGAATTTTGGTCCCACAACCAGGGGGCTGCTGCATAGGTTGTTAAGGATGAAAAAACGGTCATAAGTCACATTTGTCACATTGTAACTTTGAACAGCCACTAAATGAACCCTTGTAAGTTGAGGACTACCTGTACTAGGGCTACCTCCGCTGACTTCTACTAACTCTCCATACCTATGACCACAAGTCCACAGGACAGCATGCAGCATTAAATCCCGGGAGGGCCATTATAATTTCATCAGAGTCCTTGTCCTCATTTTGCAGACCTCTCGAATGTGCCCTGTCACTTCGCAGCCTTCCTGCAACCTGCCTTCAGACGTTCTGCAGGTGGCAACGTCAGATTAAGGGCCGCTGGGGGGTGGGGACGGAAACCCTTTTATTTACAACCCTTGAGGGTATGTAGAATTAACTCCAGATTTCTTTTTCCACTCGCAAAGCTTCGGCTTCAATTGACTCGGGTTCGCCCCTTCCACGGCGCCGCTCCGAGCCAGAGGGTGAGCCCCTATTCCAACAGGGTCGCCCTCTCTTTCCCTATAAGCCACCCCGCAATTCTCCCTTCGCCCGGGCTATTTAACACGTGTATGTGTGTGTGTGTGTGTGTGGGGTGATGGTGGGGAGATCAGCACAAGGATGCCGGGGCGGAGGGCGGCCGGATCTGAAGACCCAGAGCTGTGGGTGGTAGCGCCGAGGAAGGTATCTTTTTAAGGCCAAGGAGAGCGGTGCTTTGCTCCCTCCCTCCCTCCCTGCCCCTCTTTTTCCCGCTCGCTGGCTCACCCGAAGAACCCCCGGAGGAAAGACTGGGAGGATTTGACCCGCTTCTCGGCCTCGGCCAGGAGCTGCGCGGCCTCCCGCTCCTTGTTGCCCGCAGTTGAGGCGTCCATCTCGGCGGCGCTCAGGCAGGAGGAGGAGGAGGAGGAGGAAAGACGGCAGCCGCCTGCGATGCTCTGATTTCTGGCGAGGGCGGCGTTGGGATGGGGGTGGGTGGGTGGGGGAGAAGGAGGCAAGGAGATGAGCGCGGAGATCCGCCTTTTGCTCCCGCTCCGCCTCTTGCCTCGCCTCCCGCCTTCTGTCTCTGGCGGCGCCGCTCGTTTGTCGCCCCCCCCACCCCTCCCCCGCTGTGACACCGTGGAATAATTTGAGCAACCTGCAAATGGATTCACCTTTATGACGTCATGAAGTTCTACACACACACACACACACACAGAGAGAGAGAGAGAGAGATCTGTAGCTTCCCCCATGCCATATGGGAAAACTTTCCTCCTGAAATACGCAATACCCTGAACCTCCTTGCCTTTCATAAACGACAAATACAGGTAGACCTGGAATTAACAACAGTTGGCCTAGCCTATATGCTGCATATAGACTTTAAACCAGAGATCTTTTTATTGGGAGTCACACCCAGACATATGCAATAAAGAACGCAAATATTTGATTGTAAATGTCTTAACAGCAGCTAGAATTGTATTTGCGAAGAACTGGAAAAATGACAAAATACCTATGCAGGAGGAAGTTATCAAAAAAAAAAATTATGGACTGTGCTGAAATGAGTAAACTGACATTTGAAATTAGAGAACAAGAAGACAAGCAATTTTCTATGATACGGGATTTGTTTTATCAATGGTTGGATAAAAAGGCATGGTAATACTGTATAATAGACTAGATAATTTTGTGATAGAAATCTAATAGATTGATATAAAACATAATACAGATATATATATATATAACTACTGGTTGAAAGTATAACAAATTTTAAGATAAAATGTGGAACATCTCGTATAAAACGAATGAATGAATAGTTTAGTCATGGATGATTAATAACTGATAAATATATAAACATATATTAGTTTGACAATGTGAAGATTGATATAAATTGTGAGTAAATGACTACAAAAGTATAGCACAAAAGTTACATAACCAACTGACACACTGTATGTATATAAAATGGAAGAGGATTTTATGTTTTTATGTTTTTGTATGTGTATGTGTTTAAAAATAAAAAAAAATCTAAAAAAAGAACAGTTGTCTAGTGAGGTTCAACTGAAGAGATTAATGATCATTTTTCACACAACCTTTGTAGGATCTTCATTTATTTTTTATTTATTTTTATTTGTCAATTGCTTACAAGATAATAGGTATAAGTAAAAACATAGTTATGAATACATGGATACATATAAGAAAAATTTTAAAAATATATAAAAGAAACAATAGGACAGGGACGGTAGGCACGTTGGTGCTCTTATCTCCGTGATCATGTGATTAAAATTCAGACACGTGGCAATTGGTTCATACTTACATCCGTTGCTGTGTCCTATGGCCCATGTGGTCCCCTTTCGCAACCTTTGGACAAGCAAAATCGATTCACTGACCAGCCGTGTTACTAACTTAATCATTCACGTAACAACTGTGGCAAGAAAGATCGTAAAATGGAGTAAACCTCACTTAACAAATGTCTCACTTAACAGAAGGTTTGGGCTCAATTCTGGTTGTAAGACAAGGACTACCTGTCAAACACAAGGAACAATGGATGGAAACTAATCAAGGAGAGAAGCAACCTAGAATTAAGGAGAAATTTCTTAACAGTGAGAACAATTAACCAGTGGAATAATTTACCTTCAGAGGTTGTTGGTGCTCCATCATGGATTTTTCAATAAGAGATTGGACAGCCATTTGTCTGAAATGGTATGGGGTCTCCTGCTTAAGCAGGGGGTTGGACTAGAAGACCTCTAAGATCCAAATCTATTACTCTTATTCTTCTATTCTCCCATCAAGAGTTTAGGACCTATTGGTGTGAAGTCTGCCCTTTAGACAAATTGTTCATTATTTACTTCAGCTTGTATTTATATGCATCCCTAGCTTAAGGAAAAGGTGCAATGGACTTGAACAACATATAGAACTGTGTGATAAAGTATATTTTTCAAGAACAAAAGTTGAACCTGCTGAATACCACTTCTGGTGCATATGTGTGCCTTTGCTGTGCAGGTGACTAAAAAAGATAGGAAACATGGTGGTTCATACTGCAGTCTGTAGTTATGCACTTCTGCTTAAAATCTCAAATGGTATTAGGGTAACCAAAAGTACTGTAGTAATAGTGTATGATTTAAAAACATCCAATAAAAATAATTCTGCTGTTTGAACAGAGTGATAATCTCAAATGACCACTATATTCCAGTGTTGCTTTGTTTGGCCCAGAATTTTAATGACTGTACAGAAACTGATGAACCTTCAGATTATTTGGTTTTCCTTATTCAGGATTTAGTATCAAAAATCTCAGAGAAAATTGTCTTCACCAGCTTTGAGGAAGTATCAGTTTCAAGAATATTGATACCTTCTGCTTTTTTAGCTGTTGATTACACATGCATAATGTCAACACATTTGCCTATTCTGCATCCAATTATTTAATCTTATTTTATGGGTTATTTTAAAATATATTTTTGGTTATAGCATTATTTTTGGCTTCTGTTTATTTGAAATGTTCAACAAGAAAACTTCAGACTATTTCAAAAATGTATTTATACATAGGTATAGTCATTTTTTTCCCGTATTATATTGCTCTTTTTGTTATTATCTCATTTTCACACATAGTTCTTCCCACTTCATCTTCACAATAACCGTTTGAAGTACTATAGCTGAGCAATTATGAATAATCTCTGCCTAACCTCACAAACTATTTTCCCATCTAATTCAAAATTTATGCATGAACATGCTTTTCTGTTTTGTTTCAGCCACTTTTAAAACCTCTTATTAATATTTTAGTTTTTTTAACGCAAGAGATCATAATCAGGCGATTCACACCAGTTTGGAATTATTGGAATTTCATTAAGTCAACCCTGTTGAGAGTAAAATATTGTATTTTAGGAATCCAGTTTTGGAAAAATCATCTTACTGCTTAGAATGCTGGAAGGGAAATTCATAGCTAGAATGTTTTTGTTGCCTTTGTTTTCAAAATAGTTTGCTTAGGGACACGTTCTGCAGCCTGTTATTCTTGATAACCAGTTTTTTTCCACAACTAACCAAAACAAAACAGAATTTAAAAAAAACTCCAACCAACAAAAAAACACTACCCTTGGAAATCCTTCAGTTGCGTGAGAAACCAGGAGGTGCAAATTTAAAGCTGCTGTTTGCTTGTTCTCATGTCAAATGCTCAAATCTTTCATGTGCTCAAATCTTTCTTTCTCCTTTCAATCCTCCCACTGCTACAAAAACTTTGTTCAACAACATACAGTACTTATCATTGCTTACCCAAATCACGGACTGATGAATCCTATTTTCAGGGTTAACACTTAAATTGTGCCTGGTTAGTTCGACCACAAGATGTTGGCATAAATTAGAGGGGAAAAAGTAGTTGGAGGGGGTGGATTTGTGTGAAGAAGTTAGCAGAGGAATACCATGTAAAGGGAATATTGGAGACTGGATAACAATTGTCCAAGAGTTAAATTCCAGCAATGGCTTCCCAAGGAGAGAATGAAACATTTTTAAAAATAAAGCAGGGATTTCAAGTTACAGGCTTTGGTTTCATTTCACACAGCTAGATTCTGCACGACAAATGTATTTCTTGAAATACAGATTGTTTTAATATGATGTGCCTATTTCATTTTTTCTCCCTTCCTGTGTAGCTACTCTGTATGATATTTTTCAATAATAATAACCAACATATCAGCATCTCACAAATTCTACTTGACAGTATGCTTGAGGGCCAGAGAATCAGTTGAACTTTCATCTCTCTTAAAGGACAAGTTTTACAAATTTTTATAAGACAAGAAAAGCTATATGCCTATTTTAAGTACTTCCTCAGAAGTATTTATCTTCCCCGGAAAATTATTGAGGCCTTAAGAAATAGTATCTCTGGCATTATCTAAAACCAGTAATGCACCCATTCTCACAGAGCACATGCTATTTCACAAAATAACAAAATGTTGAACTGTTATGGAAAGCAAATGTAAATTAAAACTGATCAAGATGGATTATAGACAGAATCTCTGTATTAGGGATACACACACTCTCATGTCCAAGCAGGGAATGCAGCATTAATGAAAAGATTGAGACAAGATGAAGCTCTTTATATATATTCACATTTTCTTATTAATATTAAGCAATATTATAGATTGTACAGCACAAAGCAACCTGCTTTAGCAAGTTTTTAAATCACCAGATCCAAATAGATAGAATCTCTTAGAGCAGCTATCATCTAGAACAATAACAATGCAGGGTGTAAAAAGCAGGTGGCATAAGCAGATAAAGTTCAAATATATGTTCCTACAAAAGAATGTATGACATAATTTAATTCTGAGTAGTAATACTTAATCTTTAGTTGATTCCAGACGCAAATATCAGATAAACTCACAATATTTCCAAACTATTAATAAAAGAGACAATGTTGATATAAAACATGCTTTTATTTTTAAAGTAGGATAGTGCCCAGACCTTAAGACCATATTGTCTGTTGAGGATAAACACAAATAACAAAGCTTTAGAAAAACAAACTGGGTTGTACAGATTTCCATTTATGCAATAATTCATACTTAGTAATACATACTTGCATTTATTTGATCTATATCAATTAGCTTTGTACAGCGGTGACAAGGTTCATATCATACAATTTGATTGGCCATTGCAAGAAAAAATAAATATATTTATAGTTCAATTTTTATTATGTATTTAACACTTCAATAAAAAGGTAACGAAACTTCAGTTTCAACTACCTGAAGTTTGTAGAGAGGTCTGAGCTCAAACACATGCAAACAAATATGTGACAAATACTCTATCATAATTTTGAATAAGTTATACATAGTGTACATTAGCTAGAGGTTGAAGACTATTACATTCTGAAAATCAATTAAACTGTGTTTTAAAACAACAACAACAACACTATCACATTTATTGG